ATACAATGATCAGATACCCATCCCTCCACCAGTGCCCATTTTCCACCACCATGGATAATATCCCTCCCACCCCCATCCCCCCATCCCCCCTGTCTCTGTGGCAGGGCAATCCCCTGTGTTCTCTCTCTCCTTTTGGGTGTTGTGGTCTGCAAAAGAGGCATTGAGTGGCAAACATGTTCAGTCCATAGTCTACTTTCGACATGCATCTCCCCTCCTGGGAGGATCCTCCAAACATCCTTTATTTGGTGCTCCCTTCTCTATCTGAACTGCCCTTTCCTCTAGGATACCCGGCTGGCCTCTAAGTTATGGAGTAATCCTCCTGGTGCTGATCTCAGCTATTCTTGGGTATTAATCTCATACTTTGTTACTTTATATCCCCCAGATGAATGCAATCTTTCTATGTCTATCCCTCTCTTTCTGACTCATTTCGCTTAGCATGATACTTTCCATATTGTACCACTTGTATGTAAATTTCATGACTTCATCTTTTCTAAGAGCTACATAGTACTCCATTGTGTAGATGTACCAAAGTTTCTTTAACCAGTCATCTGTTCTTGGGCATTCAGGTTTCTTCCAGTTTCTGGCTATTGTAAAGAGGGCTGCAATGAACAAACAAGTGCAGATGTCACTTCGACTATACATTTTTGCCTCTCTGGGATATATTCCCAGAAGTGGTATTGCTGGGTCAAATGGGAGCTCAATTTCTAATTTTTTGAGAATCGGATGACATTGTTTTAATAACACCAAACATCAGCCAAGCGGCACAAATGCTGGCCGACTTTGACCGTGAGTGTGGAAAGGTAGGACTACAGCTGAATCTTACGAAGACAATGTTTATGAGAAACAGCCTTGTTCCTGACGCCCCATTCGCTCTCAATGGAACGACCATCTCCAATTGCAACAGCTATGTCTACCTAGGTCGAGAGGTCAACATGACAAATGACCTGGCACCCGAGCTGAGCAGGAGGAAGAGAGCGGCTTGGAACGCCTTCAAGAACGTCGAAGAAATAGCTAAGAGGACGAAGAACCTCCGGCTCCGGGAACGTCTCTTTGATTCCACTGTTCTTCCTGCATTAACATATGCCTCAGAGACCTGGGCCCTACGCAAACAAGATGAGAACGCCATTCAGGTCTCCCAAAGAAGAATAGAAAGAGCTATGCTTGGAATATCACGTTTCACTCAAATGAGAGAACAAATCCGGAGTTCTGACATCCGTCGACGATCAAGGATCAGGGACGCTGTCTCATATGCCAAGGTGTCGAAAATCAGATGGGCTGGTCACGTAATGAGATTTAAAGACGACCGTTGGACTAGAGCTGTTACTGATTGGATTCCACGGGATGTCAAGAGACCGCGTGGCCGCCCACCTACCAGATGGTCAGACTTCTTTGTCAAGATCATGAACGATCGGTTTGAGGCCCTCCATGTTCCCGGAGCGAAGAGATACCATTGGGCTACACTAGCACGCGACAGGGACAAATGGAGACGTTACTGGCGCCCGCTCGAGCAAATCGACGACTAACGGGAAGTTAAGTGATAAGTGATAAGTGATATAGTGACATACTAATTATTTTTTATTTGTACATATTGACATCCAGTATTGAAAAGTTATGTGCAGAGTGTTCCATGGAGTACTGGACTCTGAGAAGTTGTGGGCTTTGACAAATGTGAAGGTATAATTTTCAGAAGGTAAAAAATTCTTTCATACAAATATGTATCAGAGATAATATTTATCATATTGATTATTGAAGAAACTGTAAGATGTTAAAACCAATCCAAACCATATGCTAAAGCTACACATCCACTATTTAAGTATGCAAAATTAGATATAAACTGGTTATTGTCCAAGAAGAACATAACTCATAAATTGTGAAAATTTATGGACAGATTCCATGATAAAGAGATAATTTCCATATCAACCATCCAAAAATGTACATGCTAATCTCTGTCCTAACTATGCTGTAAATAGTTCAAGCAGTAGATTGTCAAAAAGGGTTCTGCCCTGGGATAGTATCCAGAAATTGCTTTTCAAGCTTTAGATCATTTTTCTGATACAGAGTAGGTGAAAAAGGAATGTGAAGTGTCTAACAAAACTGCATAATTGGAAGTAGGACAAAAGTTGATACAGAGATAAATTTCAGAGAGAAAAGAGAATCCAGGGATGAAGTAAAACTTAGAAATTTGTTTTTAAACATCTTGCATACTTGTAAAGGATGATGGCAAAATTGACTGTGCACTTTTTAGCTCTCAAGGCCAAGAGAAAGGTAGGGAGAGATGGTCATGAAACACATAAATTTTGGGTATGATTTTTCACTAGGAGAAAACAAACACACTATTTGTTAAATTGTTGGCATAAATGTCTGTCACATTAGAAGCTGAGACACTTCAGAAATAGCCAAGATTCTTAGGGGTTTTAAATTTTTTTTTTAAATCTATGACATACAACTCTGACTTTAGTCAGTGCCCTGTGTATTCTAAGGTCATGGAGACAAATATGCTTTAAGCCAGAGAGAAGGTAGCTTCCTCGTGTGTGCCATAATGTATCTGGCTAGGTTAATTTTCTATAAATATCATTTGAAGTGGTGGTATGATTGTATGATTGGTGATAAAATTCTAAATCTCAACTGTACTGCTTTTAACTAGAACTGGTTAAGAGTACTCTCCAATCCCTACACAGCACGTGGCACCCCTCATTTCATACCTAAAGGCTGGAGTAGGGATCAAGAATTGGCATGAGGAAGCAAGAAATAGGTCTCAGGACAGAGAAGAATACATGATCAGCCATGTAGAATTTGAAACCTGCTTTTGACCTAAGGTTGCTTTTAGATTATTGTAACATTTTATTGGTTAGCCTCCCTATTGTACTACTGCATTTAGGTAGAGGTCCTTATGAAATGTGTAATCTTAAATCCTTTGTATTTAGGCTGTAATGACTGGGATTCATTGAGTGTCTGTTGGTGGCACTGGAATTTTCATGAGCGAAATCTTAGGAGCAAGAGAAATATCAGAGGTCCAAAAGAGAGGTGACTTGTGTGACTGAGTTTTCCTCAGGGCCATTTGTCCCAGGAACATATTTATGTTCTTAGTTTTAGAGGAAATTTTTACAACCAATAGGTAATATAGTTACAACTGTGTCTGAGCATAGTATTAATATACAAAATTACTGCTGTTGCATACCACAACACCAAAATGCCCAGGACTCCATCCCTGTCCTTTTGTCACCTCTTGGGGCCAGGGCAATAGTATAGCAGGTAAGAAATTTTCTTTGCATGCAATTGGCCCAGGTTTGATCCCTGGAATCCACTAATGTCCCCCTGAGTACTTCTAGGAGTGATACCTGAGTGCAGAACCAGGAGTAACCCCTGAACATCTCCAGGTATCACCCCCCCAAAAAACAACAACAACAACAACCCCCTCCCCCCAAAAAACACCAGAAAGCAACAAAAAACTTATGTCACTTCTGGTCCAATCTAACCCCTCCCTCACCCATCAATTTACTATTTGTTGGCAGATAATTATGATTTTGGTGCATACAATTACCTCACATTACTACTTCCAACATACTCTAGACCAACATACTCTTTTATTACTTTAGTTGACCTCATTGTTTCCCTCCCTGCCTCTGTCCCACCCCACCCATGTCTTCTCAGGTCTCTATTTCACTGCTCAAGGTTTATTATCAACTGGTATTATCCATACCTTTTATTTCCTTCTCTATATACCACAGATAAGTGAGATCAATTGGTGTAAAATTATTCCTTTTAAGAGTGATTTCTTTACTTGATGGAGTTGAGCTTTTTTACCCACTGCTTTCCTCAAATCATCCTTTCTCAGGCAAGCAGAAATATTGTGGGATTTCCTTCCCATACCGGATTAATGGAAAATAGCCTTTCTCTTTGAAAGGGTGTTGGAAATACAATCCCTTTACTGGTCTCAGATTCAGGCAGATCATTTCCAAGATAAGTATTTTTTATTGAATTGTTTTCATTTTCCCAGTGAGGTCATTATGTTGTCTCCCCAGGAGGCCTCCCACACAGGGAACATCACACCATCTCCCTCAGCCCTGGAGATCCTATCTGGCCCCCTTGGCACGTGTCCCAAGCCTGAGACATGGTGCAAGCAGATATGGCTCCTCCTTGTCTCACCCACAAAGATGTGAATCTCAGCACATTGAGTGACAGTTTTGTGGTTTGCAGATGTGGAGAAATGCTCATAGAACCCAAAGAGCAATGATGTTTATCTGAGGGTGCTGCTTAAATCCAAAATGTCGGATATAAGACTGCAAAAACTTGAATAATTTTCCATGTTAATCAGTATTTCTTTCTTATGTATTACCACAATGATTAGCTTTTGGAACATTATTGAGGCCAAGGTAATCCTGCCTTTGAAAAGAGAGAAAATTCTTTTTTGTTTGTTTGTTTGTTTTTTTATTGGCCACATGTGACTGTGCTCAGGCTTTACTCCTGGCTCTGCACTCAGGGGTCACCCCTGGCAGGCACAGGGAACCATATAGGGTGCCAATGATTGAACCTAGGTCTGCTGTATGCAGGGCAAGTGCTCTACCCGCTGTACAGTCTCTCAGCCTTGAAAAGTGAGAAGATTCTAAACATAAAAGTCTACTGTCATATCAATGCATAGATATTATTTTTTCATTGTTTACTTCACCGGGGCCGAAGCAAGAGCATAGTGGATAGAGCGTTTGCCTTGCACGTGGCAACCTGGGTTCAATTCCTCTGCTCCTCTCAGAGAGCCTGGCAAGTTACCGAGAGTATTCTGCCCGCATGGCAGAGCCTGACAAGCTACCCATGATGTATTTGATATGCCAAAAACAGTAACAACAAGTCTCACAATGGAGATATTACTAGTGCCCGCTCGAGCAAATAGATGAACAATGGGAGGACAGTGCTATAGTACTATTTACTTCACCACCAACACTAAAGAAATAATAAAATGAAAATAAAAGAAAAAGAAAAAAACCCCATAAAACCAGCTGCCTATAGTGCTCATTTCAGCAGCACTTATACTAAAATTGGAACAATACAGAGAGGGTAGCATGGCTCCTGCACAAGGATGACGTACAAATTCATGAAGTGTTCCATATTTAAAAAACAAAACAAAACAACAAAACCTGTCTACAGCTGCCTAAAACTATCTTGTTTTTGTTTCTGGAATTTTACTTACAAAGATATTTCTGAGTTAAGAATATCAGTAATATTATAAATTATCTTTCAAATTGAGACATGAGACATCAGTTATTCACACTTTTGGGGTTGTTCATTATATAACTTGCTTTTACTTTCTAACATCCTCCTGATAAAGTCATAAGGGAATGGATATTTTATTAGGAAAGAATAGAAGTGAGATTTGAGAAGGACTTACACAGAGAAACACTAGGCTATATCTAAGGGTGGCTTCAATCTTAAGATTTCCTAATTAGAAATATATTTCTCATTAAAAAATTTTGCCCCAAGGTCGGCCCTGTAATGAAGATAGCCAGGAGCACAATATACAGCTATATTAACTCACACTTAAGGAGAGTCCACCCAATCTAAATACTCAGTCAGGGTCTCAGATTCAATTTAGGTAATGACAGAGAAGAGTTTCCTATGAAAGATTTTTTTCCCTAGGTCTAGCTCTTAAGGAGAGTTTAGGATATTGTTAGCTGTGAATGCAAAGAGAGTTAGGAAATTGGAAAAATGACATCCTACAAATGGTATGCTAGACTTCTGAGGTGCTTAGAGGTAGTCAGCATGTTGAAAACTCTGAAATTCTTTCCCTGATGAGATATGTCAGACTTCCATCCTATTATCTTTACCATCACACCTTGGGTAAACTTGTGACCCATTGTAATATATCCTTACTCATACATTCATTCATTCCCAAGTAGGTGAAAGTTATGGTTTTAAAACCGCAAACGGAAGTCAGCAAACTAGTTTTAGTTAAAAAAGGGATGCAATCTGAGATTAATTGGGAACTGAATATCATCATGGTATTGTGCAAATGAGGCCACACTTTTCCATTCTTCCGTATTGACAAATTTTGCAGTATGACTTAAGCAATGGAGGCATGAAAGAGCTGAAATCTTAGTATCACCTTGCCTATGACATTGATAAGAAATGGTGTGCTAGCCTTTAGTAAGCCTTATAGGCAGCCCCTTGTGGAACTCTTCTGCGGGGAGACACTAAGTATATTTGAGAACACCCCAACTGAGGTCACCCTAGACCAGTTTATCAGCTAGCCTCCAGTTTATCAAGAGCTTCTTCCCATAACAGGAGAAATACCCTTCTTATACAAATTGCTGAGTTCCAGAAATTTGAGATTAATATTATTCCATGTAATGACATTTTGTACACATACACACAGAGCAAAAACTCACTAGTACAAATCCTTCAGAAGAAGAATAGACTTGTGACCCCTCTGAAGAGTCAGCACTAGATTATATGCTTTAGTTTTTGAACCCTGCCTATTCCAGGAAAGAAAATTTGACTGGCTAATAAGTTTTCTCCTAAAGATGGGGTAGAGTCTTTTGCTTAGCAACCTTGCCAAAACCATAAGAAATAGAGAAAAGACTGTTCTTTCAAGGAAGGGGTTAATTGTTATTTCCAAGTAAAGGGAAGAGAAGATCCTAGGTAGACAAAACACATATTGACTATCAGCATTTGTTCTGAATACTCATGTCATCCTCTTGCAAGAAAATCTTAATGGAGGTACTCAGCAAACAACTAACTTTTGCTATCACAGAGGGCTGCAAATGGCTTCAAGAAGAAGGAGCATAAACTACACTCACTACCAGGAAAAGATTTCTTGGAGAGTCTATATTGGAATAGAGTTCTATGAGATAAATAATGAGTGAGGTGAGGAGACTGGAGGTCCTGCCAGGTACTTGAGTTACATATGTGAAAACTTAGAGTTGAAGCGTTTTGGGGTTTGTTTTGTTTTAGTTTTGGGCCACACTTGACTGTGTTCAAGGCTTCCTTCTGGCTCTGTGCTCACAAATTACTTCTGAGGAGGTAGGGGGACAAGAAGCAGTGATCTGGGGGTCAAATCCAGATCAGCCACAGTAGGCAAATGTCCTACTGTGTACTGTCTCTTTCTATTTCCAAGTTTAAGTTTTAAAATGTCACAATGGATCAACTTTGTACCATGGCTAATGGCTGGAGCAATAGTACAGGGAGTAGGACTCTTGACTTGCATGTGCCTATGGGGTTGAATCCCCACAGAACCCCATAATGTTCCCCCCCAACCATCACCACTAGTGATAATGAACATAAAGTCAGAAGTAGGCACTTAGTGTCATGGCGTGACACGGGACTGTCAAAGGCTAGCACCTGAGTACTGCTGGGTGTGGCTCCCCCAAAAACAAAACAAAATTTATACCATGGCCAATAACCCACATTCTCTTTTTATTTATATATTTAACATTTATTTTAAGTGTATTTGTATTTTTATTGTGGGTTAAGTAATGTGAATAGAATAATGTTAAAGTTTATGCTATTGATATACACAAAGTGCCCACGACCCTCTACACTGTCCTACATTACTTTAAGTTTACCTCTTCAATCTTTCTACTCTTCCCACTGCTGTCTGGTAAGCTGGTCCAACGTCTTTAAATTTGAAAGAAAAGAAAAAGAAAGAAAAAATTTATTTCAGATCCCACCAGTTTCAATTATTTTATTTCCCTCTGTTGAAAAGAGTCTTGAATATTTTCTGTGAATGCCTTTTTTTCCCCTAATAATGGGGAATTATTGCAGGTATTTGAGCAAAGGGTGGTGATTATGTTTAGATTTGAGCCTTAAAAAATTGTTCTGACTACAATCAGAAAAAAATATGGTATAAGCAGCAAGAATGGAAGCAGGAGACCAATTAGAATAGCATTACTCTTTTCTAGATAAAAAGCAATGAATTTAAGTAAGGGAATGAGATGAGTGAATTGTGAGGAAAGGATCAATTGTTTTTGTGATAATCTCATAGAATACACAGGGACACTAGCTGCTTCTCTATAACCAGCATTGTTTCTTTAGAGCAAAGTCACAATAGCAAAGGACTTATGCATCTGAGGACAGATCTTCCTTGATGTCAAATGAGACATACCCTTTCTAGAGAAACTAGTGATAAACTCAATTCTATCAGATAATGTGACACAAACCCTCTTTTTTTTCTTGCTAGGAAAGTAAACGACTCTCCTTCAACCCACATGACTTGCCAGAAAGTCAAGCAGTTTCTACACCCACTTAGCATCATGGCGTGAGACGGGACTGTCAAAGGCCAGCGCCGAACTGCAACCAGATGGGCGAAAATTCTTGCCAGGGCACATCATCCAAGCCTCTTGCTTTTCAGTGATCAGAGGTTGAATGTTCAGAGAAAGTGCTGCAGATGCCTGAGTCACAACTGGATCAACTGAAATAACAATGCAAGGAGGTGTCTGCCTCAGGAGGGACACAAGGAGGGGCTGCCAAGAGATCCTGTCAGCCTCTGCAGAGCGGGGAGGGGAGAGGGCATCATTACTGAAAAGGATTTGGAGAGAAAGCAAAGAGACAAAAAAAAAAAAGAGAGTGATTTGTGGTTTTCTTCTAGGCTTAGAGAACAGTGCAGATCTCTAGCACATGTGTGAGCTGGAAGAGTAGCACTGTCCTCCCGTTCATCGATTTGCTCGAGCGGGCCCAGAAACATCTCCATTGTGAGACTTGTTGTTACGGTGCTTGGCATATTAAATATGTCACAGGTAACTTGTCAGGTTTTGCCATGTGGGAGAGATACTCGTGGTAGCTTGCCACGCTTTCCGAGAGGGGCGGAGGAATCGAACCCATGTTGGCCACATGCAAGGCAAATGCCCTACCCGCTGGGCTATCCCTCCAGCCCGAGCTGGGAGAGTAAAGGGAAAAAAAAGAACTTAGAATGGACAGAAATGAATTTTTTTTATCTAGTAGCACTGTAGCACTGTCCTCCCGTTGTTCATCTATTTGCTCCAGCAGGCACCAGTAACATCTCCATTGTGAGACTTCTTGTTACTGTTTTTGGCATATCGAATATGTCACAGGGATCTTGCCAGGCTCTGCCATGCAGGCAGGATACTCTTGCTAGCTTGCCGGGCTCTCCGAGAGGGATGGAGGAATCAAACCTGGGTCGGCCGCTTGCAAGGCAAACACCCTACTTAGTACTTAAAAGAAAAACCTGATATTTGACAAGACTCAATAACGTAATCATGTTACATGTCATAAGTATGAACAGTTACAGAAGAGTATGTGACCTTTTCACCGTGGTTGGAAAGTCCAGACACTTACATACAAAGACTGCTATTAATGTGAGAAATAAAGGCTAACATCAACCAGTCTATTCGTATTGGTCAATGGAGGAGGTGCTTGAGGATGAAGATTCTGCAACCAGATTAAATTTTAGAATTTTGTTTTTAATAGTCACATCATACCATTAAGTTGGTACCATCTGAAGATTAAGAAGCTTCAGAAAAATGAGTGAAGAAAGATTTTGCCTGTCACTTAGCTTTGCAGTATGGCTTCCATCATGGGCCACATTGCCTAGTTATTGCCTTTACAGGCTATGTTGCCTTCTTATCTTAACAGGTCACATTGCATTACTTGTTTTTTATAAAATTGAAAATTATATTGTCAATTGCATAATTTTATTGTATTGCGGTTTGCTCTGTGCACATGTATCTAAAAGATTAATTTGTTAAATGAAGCATTTCAAATGCACCGTATAAAGACATTTACAACTGCCTTTCCATTTTTCTCTTTTTAACTATTTTAAATTAAACTAAACAACTCTGGAAAATGGAAGTGAATCTCCTCTCTCTCAGATTCCAGATTGTGATGCAGGAAGTAATAGAGCACTGTCTGATAAACTGCCAAATATTTGTGAGTGCTGTTTCTTGAAAGCCAATTATGAGGCAGTCATTTTGTCATATATTTAAATAAATGCATATGTGGTGGAAGCTATAAGATAAAAGATAAAGAAGACAATAAGTTACCTGCACACTGCTAGAAATTTCATCACTGGAAACTCCAATTAAAAGACAGCTGTATACACTCTTTACAATAGCCAGAATCTGGAAAAAACCTGAGTGCCCAAGAACAGAAGACTGGTTAAA